GAAGAAACCGTAGAGGAGGAAGAAGAAGTTGAACAACTTGAAGAAGCAGTGCCTGTGTCCGATGAAGTAGAAGTGACGGTTGAAGAACGAGAAGAGGAAAAAGAAGAAGAAACCGTAGAGCAGGAAGAAAAAGCAGAACAATTTGAACAAGCAGTGCCTGTAACCGATGAAGTAGAAGAGACGGTTGAAGAAAGAAAAGAGGAAAAAGAAGAAGAAGTTGAACAACTTGAAGAAGCAGTGCCTATAACTGAAGATAAAGAAGAGACGGATGAAGAAGGAGAAGAGGAACAAGAAGAAGAAACCGTAAAGGAAGAAGAAGAGGAAGAAGCAAAACAACTTGAAGAAGCAGTGCATGTAACAGAAGATGTAGAAGAGACGGTTGAGAGAGAAGAGCAAAAAGAAGAAGAAATCGTAAAGGAGGAAGAAGAAGCAGAACAACTTGAAGAAGCAGTGCCTGTAACTCAAAATGTAGAAGAGATGGTTGAAGAAAGGGAAGAGCAAAAGGAAGATGAAACCGTAGAGGAGGTAAAAGAACATGTAACAGAAAGCAAACAAGAAGGCGACCTTGAGTTTCCTGATGGATCAGAAAAATCAGAAGAACGAGAACAAGTCGAAGAAGCAGAAAAACAGCAAGTTGTCGAGATTGAAAAGTCGCAGACCTTAGTCGTAGATGATCGGTTCGAATACATTAGTGAGGAAGAGCTGGAAGAAACGGAAGAGCTCTACGAAGCATTAAGGGAATCTTTTGAAGAACAGGATAATGAAGAGCTAATTGACGAAGAAAACGTCCGCGTTCAGCAAACAGCTGCAAGAATAATACATATTGACAGCCAAGAAGAAGAAAACTACGAAGCGTTTGGCGAAGAAGCATCAGAAGATGAGATCGTTTATGACACCGAGGTTATAACAGAAGTGGAAAAAGAAATTACAAGTGCTCTTGTTGTTAAAGAAAGCTTTTCGTCTGCTGTCTGTGAGGACGAGACCGCAAACGAAAATGTTCATCCCGAAGAAAGAGAAACAGAATCGCCAGTTGAGGAAACCCAAGCAAAAACATTGCTACAGTTCTCAGAGCCAGCTGATGAGGATGGTACTGAAGAGTATGTTGACGAACGAGAGCCGATGGATTTGCACGATGACAGTGATGACGTCTTTATGACTGAAGAACAATTTGAACCATCTAAGACTCCAGATATTGAAGAATGTGAAGAATTAGAAAGCTCTGATGAAATTATCGATAAAGAAGTGGAGTTAATACAATTCACTGAGGAGACAGTGGAAGAGGAAAAAGTCACGTCTGGAGATGAAGAAGTTTTCCAAGAAGAGAAAGCTGTTTCTGAATCGGAAGAAAGATCACCCACTCCAGATGAAGAGGATGAGAGAGATGACCTTGACAGCTCAGAAGAATTTGCAGAGGAAAACATTGAATTAATCCAGTTTGATGAGCAAGTAGATGAAGACAAAGCCATTGATGAAGGTTCTGAAGTAGATGAACTATATCCTTTATCTCCTGATGTCATCGAAGAAAAGCAAATTGTTAATGAAAGCGGAGTGGAGCTGATACAGTTTACAGAACAGGTCGAAGAAGAGAGAGTAAAAGATGGTGAACGGATGGAGTCTCCAGAGCTTGAGCATGTAGAAAGTGAAGGGCAACAGGATGATGAACAAATCACTGACGAGAAAACCGAACATATCCAGTTTGTTGAACATACAGAAGAAATAGAAAGTACGCACACCGGGCAAGCTGAAGAAATGTTGAAAGAATATGTAACTAAAGATTCAGGCAAGATTGAAGTAGAAGAAGAATTGGTGATCAGCCAACCTATCGCTTGTTCGACGCCTATATTCTTAGATGAAAAAGAGCAGTCCGAGGACACTACAAGCTTTGACGACTCTGCTGAAGCTGGATACGGAGAGAAGTACGAGGACATGGAAAACATCGTCGCACATGATCATTCTCTTGATGTTTCACAGTCAATCTCACTTGAAGAGTCCTCTGATTTGAGTAATGACTTCTACAAAGCCGAGGCAGAAGAGACAGCTTCAAAAGCAGTGGCGGAAGAATTTGACGACTCTGGCAGACAAGAGACTGAACCAGAAAGTCTGGAGGAAGTAGAAGACGAAAAAGAGGAGACAAGTGTAACATCTTCTTCAGTTGTCACCACTACAGTATACGAAAAACGTATAATTAAAACTGAACATACCAAAAGAGAATTTGTTGATTTTACTCCTCTGGAAACTGCTGAAGCTATGCGACATAAAGAATCTAGGGAAGAGCATTTATCACCACCCCCAAAAATTACAGCAACTGAATTCGTAGCTGCTGAGGAAGAAGAAGGCTCTGAAGAAGAGTACTTACCCAACTTTGAACATCCCAGGACCTACATGATCGAGAGCAAAGAGGTTGTTATGGATCGCAATGCAGTCGAATCAAAGTTCGTCGAGCAAGAAGAAAGTGCACCCTTGAAAGAACTGGAAAAGGAAGAACATGAGGAACCTGCTGTTGGAATCCAAGCTCCCTCTGAGATGGATACTGGAATTGAAACGGAAGTAATTGAAACTGAACCACAAAAAGTGGAAACCAGGACTACGACTGTAAGTGTATCTCATCGATCTGAGGTCGTGCGAAAACAACAATCAGATATCGATGATTTAGAAGAGAAAGAGCTAGAGGAGAGGATCCAAAGAAAGCAAAAAGCCATGGAAGAAAAACTCTTGCAAGACGAGATTAAAGAAGACATCCCTGATAAAAGGACAAACGAAAGCGAAGAAAGCCGAACAGAGGCAATCTTTACTTCAATATCAGTTGTAAAAGTTGCGCATGAGGACGACGAACAACGTATTTTCAGGGAAGAAGACGCCACCATTAAGATGTCGGAAGATGAAGAAAAGCTCAAGGAAGAAGAATCATCAACCGAAGAGCAGGATGTGAAAGAAGATGAGGCATTAACTGAGGCTGCTTTCAGAGCAGAAAGAGAAGAAGAAGAACGCAAGGCAGAAGATACATCAGACGAGCCAGATAGAGGCCAAAGAGAAGACGAAGTGGCTCAAGTTCCGATCATTCCACTAATGACTGCGTCGGACGTTGCTTACAAAACCGCAAGGTCAGAGAAAGAAATCCATGAAGATTACCAAGAAGAAGTCGAAGTAGAGAGAATAGAGTCAAAAACACATCCGGTGGTTTTAACGGACGTAGACTTTACCGAAGAAATTGAAGTCGAAAAAATGCAAGAGGAATTGGAAGAGGAGGAGGATAGTGGTAAACAAGACGTCTACGAGGAAGAAGTCGAAATCCAAAGGGTCGAAAACCAAGAAGAACAATTTATAGAGGAATACCACGATGATGTGTTCGAGGAAGAAGTTATGATAGAAAGAATTGAAGAGGAACACAAGGAAGAACAGGAAAGCTCTCCTGATGCAGCATCACTTCTAGTGTATGAAGAAGAACTAGAAGTCGCTGCCGACCAAATACCAGAGCAACCAAATCCTGCAGAAGTAAACGTTGTGCAAGCAGAACCATTGCATGAAGATGCCGGCCAAAACAATGACGGCCAAAACAATGCCGACGAAAACGATGCCGGTGAAGACAACGTCGGCGAAAACAATGAAGTCGGACAAGTGGAAGAAGAAGAACAAGCTTGGGAAGAATACGAAGAAATGGAAGAGCAAGACCAGGAGATTCCTCAGGAAATCCAAGGTATTGCAGTTCAGGGTGACATGCATTTATATGATAACAACAACAATGAGTCTTTACCGAGATACTATGTGGACTTTTCTCCCGGAGGGAGTTTCGAACACGAGTCTACTACAAGTGACGATGGGGAAGGCCCAGAAGTATATCGACAAGGAGAACCAATGGAAGAAGATATGGAAGAGTTTATCCTCGTGAAATATGAGGACCAATCAAGTTCTTCGGAGGAAGATATCTCAGATCACCGAGAAATGTATGTTATTCACGAGGAAGATTCAGAAGATCGTGCGGACGAGAAGAAAGAAATGACAGAGGAATCTCACGAAGAAAAGGTTGCATACGACCAAGGTTTCGTGAACCCAGCTTTGGAAGACATCAGAGAGGAAGAAGAAGAAGAAAAGCAGAAACACCATCAAGGAGAAGGTGAAGAGGTTGATATTGAGGAGAAGCTTCAACTTGAAGAATATGAAAGACTTGAATCCTTCGTGATTCTTGAGGAGAAACTTAGTCAAGTTGAGTCGGATGAAAGCATTGAGGATCTGACAAGTGGAACCGATGGAAAACGTGCTTCCAGTGAGGAAACTTTAAACGATGAAGACGAACTCAGCGAGACAAGGACTTCATCGACATTGAAGGATGGATCTAACTCAAAGGATGATGCAAGTGGTGATGAGGCTAGTACCCCAGAGACGCAACCTTCTGCATTGGATACCACTTTGACAAAAGAAGTAGAGGAAGAAACAATCGACCTCGAAGACGGTGGCGTTCTTAGTAAACGTACTGTACGTGAAGAAAGCTACTCGATTGAGGAAGACGATGGTGACGATGATGACAAGGATAAAACATTAACAAGAAAGAAAATATCTAAGAAAGTGATAACTACTACTTCTACGAGTGAGACGCATGTCAAGCGTATTGAGAGCAAAGACAATCCTTCTCCATCTGGTTCAGACAACGAAAGCGAACACCAAAAAGAACATGCAGAAGACTTGACAACAAAATATACAACAGAGACAGTACAACCGGAAAAGCAGTATAGTGGAGATGAGAAAAGCGGAAAGGAAATCGATGAAAGTCCTAAATATGGAACTAAAATGATAGAGACCGAGCAGGAGACGATAGATTTGGATGACGGTGGAGTGATGAATAAATTCGTCACCCGAGAAGAAACTTACACCGTAGAAGAAGGTAACGGTGATGGTCATGACGATCAAGACTCGTCTATATCGAGGAAGACAGTCTCTAAAAAAATCGTAACGACCACCACTACAAGTACCTCAAGAGTAACGCGACTGGAAGATGAACCTTCGAGTTTTTCAGATGACGATGCTAACAGAGTAGTCGAGACTTCATCTGAGGAAACACACACAACGATAATCAAGAGTAGACAACCTGAAGAGCCACTGGTTACAGCAAAACGACAGCTCAGTCTTGAAAACTATGGGGCTTCTTCTGAAGCTTGCAAAGATCCCTCCAGAAAAAGAAGAGGATTTCTAAAGCGTTTTGACTCCCACGAGAGTGAAGGCCATTCCTCTGAAGTCAGTTCGACAACGGATTCGACAGGAGAATCCACAAGCATATCAAGTGAAGGCCACGTGTCGGATGAGGATTTCTCGGGTAAAACCATGCAGTATTTGGCTAAATAACTCCTTCTCTGAAGATTATTGCACTTTAGTTTATCATACGATTTGTTTCTTTTTATATATGTTCTTACTTCTTTACCCTGCATGTCAGTCCACATAGTATCATTTTTTTCTTTTCTTTTCTTTTCTTTTTTCTTTTTTCTTTTTCTTTTTCTTTTTTTTTTTTTTTTTTTTTTTT